TTTTTTTTTTTCTATATTCTAAGTTTTTTGACGAACGCATGAATAAAGAAAACGTCTAAATCATTCTCTTTACAACTTGCTTTTAATAACTGAATAGCTCTTTTACATTTACATCAAGAAAGCATTCATATGCCAAGGCATTTAGTTCCAGTATTCTTTCTCAAACCCCCAGTTCATCTCACAAGTCCTCCTTTCATCTCAGCCTCAGTTAAATTTGGCATATCAGATAGAGCTCAGCAAATTATTTGATCTAGACTGTATGTCTCAAGATGCCCCTCAAAAACGTCGCAAATTTTTATTCACTAAATTACCAGTCACCGATGAAACACTATTTTGTGTCAATAAAAGAAAACCTGCAAACCATGCACCCCTAGAATATGCATAACAACATTTAAGAACCACAGAGATTGAAAAAGCCACCGATGCTGGCGAAAAGAAACCAGAAGGCGCATGCAGAACAATCCCTGAATCAAGCTGGCTCGTTGATTTTCAAAAAGCCGACCTAAATTTTTCGTTACTTTGACAGAAAACGGTAACTTAAAGAGTAAAAAAGAAGAGCTGATTTGATACCTTTGAGGAATGTTATCATTAGATATATAAGAGTACTGGGATTGTAAAAAATACTAACATAAAACTGGCCCATAGCGCGACAAATCGGTGGAAATACTCGTGAAGAAGACATGAGAATTTCCATCAAATGCATAAGCGGTTGGAGAGGTAATTCAATGATTCCAACACTCGTATCTTTACCATTTGCACGAGGATCTCTTTTAGCTGTCTCTCCATCGAACACCTAAAACGCTGAGTTTTTCACAAAAGTTTGCAGTTATTCCCAACCTCTCAGTAATATTTTAGTGAAAGACCTTGTACAGCATTTTCAAGACCGGGAATGGGCTGAAATGCTTTGAATCATTCTTTTTGGCAGCCTCATGGTTCTCACTAACGTCTTCCAACTGACCATGAGTTAGCAGCGTGTACGGTTCCAAAAGCCAAATCTGTTAAAATTCTTATAAAAAATAATAACACGTAGGATGCATATAATTTATGCTTCCATTCAATAAATTTTTGTAGCAATTTTTTTTGAAAAATTGCTTACCAACAAATAAGGTCTTTTGTCAAAAGTCCTGATCAGGAGTTTTAAAGTTGACTGTAGTTCACTCTGAGAAATCAATAAGAATATAAAGTAGCGCTCCATACATCCAAATCTGGAAAAAGAGTGAATAGGATAACCGTAGCACAGTTTCGTTATTCTTTCAAGCAATAAGCTGTTTTAAAAAAATTCTGCCACCTTCCAATCAGGAAGCATTTCTGATTTTCGCAGAGTTTTAGCTCTGTCGCTGCACTATGAAACTGAATAATTTTTGGATCACCTGAAAGAGTCTTACACTCCATGAAAGAATTAACCAAAGAGCAATGTAAATAACTGTAGCTGTAATCACAAATATAAAATATAAAAAAGTAAATTACTTACTCCTTTTGATCTTTCCGATAAAAGCCAGACACCTTTTGCACTGTACAACGCTGCTTGATCGGTTAAAAGTTACAGCATTCGCAGTTAATGACTGAAGAAATTTAAAAACGCCATATATACGAATAGGTAATGAGCAAAAAAATATTTTAATTTCCAATAAAGAATTACCCGACAATATAAGCTGATATATGAGTTGGAAACTACTGCTTTTTTTTCATTTGGAATCCAACGCTGATTAGGCTGACCGTCCACAAGATCTAACTGGTGTGCGCACTTCCTGTTCTGATGACAGCACGAGTCACGGCAGAAATACTCCATACCAGGGGAAGTTTCCAAAAAGTCGTCTGTTGGCAAAGCAACTAGTTCCATGCTACTAAAGGGTTCAACAATATTATTCCAGTTTATAAATGAATAGTATAAAATAAAGCACTTCTGATCATCAACTTGTGTTTCCAACAGCTTCTGCGTAAAAACGGAAAGAATTTCCCAGAAGGATTTAAATGTTAAGTTCTCATCGCAGTCCGCACTCGGTGCCATTCAGAAAAATTGAGCAAACCAAAGGTAAGTACGCCAAAAAAAGGATTGCAAGATATGCTTTAAACAGAAAAGAATAACACTTCAAAAAACTATCATGCTTAAATACCCCTTTGAAGCCTGTAGCACCAAGTTCCCGCAACACCTGCATTTCAACGACAAACTTCCTGTATACATTCTCCTCAAATACTCTTCTAATGAATTACCGTGGAGTACAAACTTAACAATTTCTTGAAACGACTCGGACTCTACAATTCTGAATGTCGCGTTAAATAAGCAACCAACTATAATTTGAAGAAACATCTATTTAACCAAGTACTCTAAAAAAAAAACAAGAATTTTAAATACAAAAAACTACCTGGCATAGGGTCACCACTCGTTTTCGCTTGAACTTTAAAGGTCAGTAACCGATGTTGTTCAGAAAACGAAACTGAACAAACCGTATCAGGAGAAAAACGAATTTGACGGAAACAAGCAAGTGACTCTGCACTTTTACACCCAAAGCCCTGCTTTTTAGCCATTCCGATAGACGCATCTTTTATGTGCAATAACTCGTCCAAAGAGTCGGAAGTCGGATTACTGAAAATACCACCGCTACCAAAAATAAGGAACTGTTAGTGCACAGTAATAAACCGCTAGTTTCCTAAAACAATAGCAGTTTCTCCAATGACCCTAAAAGATGCAATTAACCACCTGCACTTCTAAACGCAAGTTGATAATTTATTACCAAGCCTTCAAAAGCTACAAAAAAAATCTACCTCGCTTCCAAACTCTCATCTGCTCCACTCTTAACAAAGTCACAATCGATGAAAACAGAAGCGTACTCAGCTTTCCGCTTCAGCTCAATCAGAAACGAAAGAGGTCCCCAATGATCATTCGCCATCACCACACTAGCAGTGCCATTCACTGCAATCTGATCTGTTAAAGTTCCGGAAGTCGATATAACCTTTTTTAAAGCTATAGTGCTTCAGTACCACCTTGTCCCTGAAACGCGAATAAAACAACTTACTCGAACAAACGGAAGTTGATTCCACATCAATACACTGATAGCTGTTTGCTACATTTGAATAACCAATAGCTTCTTCCAACCATAAGTGTTTAATGCCATACAGGATAACTCGCATAATGTTCAAGAAAAACTTCCCCCGATAAAGCAGAAAAAATATCAATTTAAATACGGTATTAGAACATGACTATTTGTATCAAGCACTGAGTGAGCAATAGCTGATAGGCCAAGAAACCTTTCCGAAGCAAGCTGCCAACCTACATTTCATTTGCTAAAATCATAGGAAGACTTAACTTTGGAAAGGTTTAAAAATCAGGTTCTTATTATTCTGGAAAAATTATATTCAAAACTCTTTCAAAAATAATAAAAATTTCTCTGGTACACGATACTGCTACACGAAAATGAACTCGGCCGTCTTTATGATGAAAACTTTTCAGTTTTCACACATACGAACATCCAGTCCAAAGAATCATACATACGCTGTCAAAAATTCATACACATCAAATGGAAATAGCTATAAATGGAGGAAGAGGTAGAAGAGAGAATAGATGCACGACAAAAACATGCCGCTTATAAGCTACAGAAAATGAAAAAGTACCATAATTAGCATTTCAAAAATTGGCAGAAAATGAATTTTGAAATAATCTTTGCGAACGAGAGGTTATCAAAATGGTGTTATATCAGTGTAACAGTAAAATAGCTATTAGAGGTAAAAATGCAAAGTAGAAGGAGCAAGTAAACTGTGAGCTTTTTTATTTCACGATTGTGAAATACTCGCCCAAAAGGTAGTCTAAATTCAAAGCTTTTGCACCACATAATATCCCATATGCGATGTCTGGGTCTAGTTCCAGTTTATCTCTCATCGTAGTGTATAAATATTCTTTCTCCTTCGCATTCTTAAAAAAAAGGCTAATGAAACTATTGCAGTAATTTACTATCAAAATCTGACATAAAGTGTAGAGGCACACTGAAACGCCCATGATAAGACTATATCTAAACAGCTAAATCTTGTTAGAAGAGATAAAAAAGTTAATACTGACTGGCTGGCCTCTGAATAAAGCTGATGCAGGAGTACCGATTGACGTATTGGAATTCGATGCTTTACTCGAGCAGCCTAAAAAGCGGCTTTAAAATTCATGTTTAGGAAATTAGGACACTTTACAAAGACATAAACTTTAAAAAACGTACCTCCAGCTTTCATCAAATAACCACCCCGCTCAGAATCATACAACCGGCAACTTTGAAAATTTCCAGCTAATAAATCGGTTTCACAGCAGACATTTCCCTAAAATTTGCAACTACTTAAACAGAGTGCATAATCCGTATCAAGGCACACTAGGAGTAAGAAAAGAACAATAATAAGCTGCTAAACAATACGAAAACTCCTTTCAACACCAGAAAAAAAAATGCCATTTGACGAAAAATAATTTCTGGGTTTTCAAAATAAATTTTCAGACCTCGAAGCTCTTTGCACTCCTACTTGCAGTGGCAACCAGCAACTCGCCAGAGTTAGAGAAAGTATGCTGCTCAATATGATTCAGTGTTGCTTTACGCGATAAACCTAGATGTTTCAAACACTGGCTTGTATATTCTAATCAGTCTCATTCATATAAAAACATATGCAAAACGAACCAATATTAGACGGCGACAAAAACTAACCACACTACAACCAAGAGCAAGTGATCATGCACCGCATGACCATTCTATTAACTTAGTCTGTTTTTCAAAAACTAAGTTACATTTTACATAATCCTGCTAAAGGAAAATTACCTGCACTGGTTTCTGAAGCCCAATGAGTTTCAGTTTCTGAGCAGTCCTCTGAAACTTCTTTTTCTCTTTCCTCAGCAGTCTGTTTATCACTTTCAGTAGTCTAAATTTAAAAAGTATTGTATTAAAGCATAAAAAAGGTATGCTTTGATATTAAAAAAAAATTGTTCTGTCGTAGGGAAAAAGCTGCGGTTTTCAGACGCCAACAACGGAAGAAAACCTTATATTAAAGCGATATACAGAAAAGCTCCGAAAAAAATATTAATGACATATAATAAAGGAAAGTTACTTGGCAACTTCCTTCCTCAGGAGCGCCAAAGCGCCAAACTGTGTCTTCTTGATAGAGTATTTCATTGGCAGATATTAAAGAAAAAATCTTGCTATCATCTAAATATACAATCTTTACAAAGCACCTCACTGTTAAAGAACGCTAAAAAGGCAAAATTGGCTGAATTTAGAGCACATCTTCAAAGAAAACCTCTTCAACAGTTAAGAAACAATTTAATGGTCAAAACAACCAAATGCTCTCACTAGTGTACCGATAGAGAACTAAGTTAATAGCCGCTAATATTTCTGTAGATTTCTGACGTGACCATCGACTTTGGCACACAACCTCATAGTCACCGTCTCCAGGGCATGAAAACATCTGTTCTACAATTGGAATTTTATTTATTGCTGGGAACGATACGCAGAAGAAAAAGAAAACTTGAAGCTAATGAAGAGAAAGTAAGAAAACCTGGCTCCAACATCGACTCTGCTTCGAAAATAGCTTTGTAAAAAGGGTCTCCATATCTGCTGATATAAACCCCTTCGCACAACTCGCAAGACAATATTAGTCGGCGGCTTGCAATATTATGTAAGCTTGGTGATAAAGCTACATGATCGCGAAACCTGTCCTAAAATTTTATGTTTTCTGTCGCAGGCAGCTATCAAGTCAAGGCAGTATAACCGACAAAACCTTTTTTTTTCTTTGCTTGCCATTACCTAAGATTTAGTAACATTGGCAAACTAAAACTTACACGAGATACAATAGTTCCACAGTTATCTCGAGCAATGTTTAGGGCAACGATATCGTCGTTTACTACTGGCGGTACCTCTGTGAACAACTGATACTTTTCCAAATCCTGAAAAAAATTTAAAAACAATTGCAACTTTGAAACTAGTTTAGGAGCTCTAAAAGTAGTAAATTACATATTACAACATCTCTTTCAATTCAAGCACCTTCCAAATAGAGGAATTGGTCTCCTTCCATCTTAATGGGGTATACTTGACCACGATATTTACTGGGTGTCCTCGTCTAACGAAAAAGCGCACCAAAGGCAACAAGTAGATGAACTCTAGGTCGGGCCTATAAAAGAACTTGACATCTCCTGTACGCTCGGCATAAAAAATACCCATACCGGATTAGAACGCAAAAGTTATACTTTAGATGGCCCACCCCTGACCGTATGCAAAAACACATTTCAGAATGGTTCTGCTCCTCTTAATGCACTTCATTACCGTTTCAAATCTAAAATGCTCAAACTTCAAGAATCTTTCCTGAACTCTGCACTGTTTTTTAATTTCACGATGCCTCAAAACTTTTCATCCAGTTGTATGCTTTAAAATCTTGAAAACCACTGAAGTACAGCCAGAATTTTTCATCTTGGTGCATAACCTACTATGTATGGAAAAATCGACCTTTCTTCACCAGTACAATTCCCAAAAGTAACGTTTTACAAAACATTTAAAAAACAGCAAGGACGTCAATAAGTCAGAAAAAATTGACGAAAGGAAAACGGAGTACTTTTACAAAAATTCAGATGGCTATAGCAGCTAAAATAGTCCCCCCGCTTAAAGTAATTTTCACACCGAATTAGGGATGAACGTACTGACAGCTTAGCTCTGAGCAATTTCGGGAATATAACAACTGGTTCTGATCTTAATTCTCTAGATAAATAATCTGTAACGGCTTACCTGGGCCTGCGTTTCTTTTTTGATCCGCTGCAATAACCTGTCGTGCTATAAAGCACGTTTAGCCCATCTATTACAATCATCCTTCTCCCCAACTGCTTTTTACCACCTGACAATTTAAGGTAATTTTTAGCGAAATCCTCCATTTCTGTTACCGATTTAATAGTTAGTTTATTGTACCGACCTCAGTCTCATTTTAATCGGTAGCTGAAAGCGTCAGAATTGCGGCAACAAAATTGTTTTATGGAAGTTACAGTGTTCAGTAGAGAAACGCGAAACAGTAAGTTTCATTACTAACAGCTTGGTGAAAAGATATTCAAAAGATAATTTTTTTGGCGGGGAATCAAATATCACTCAAACTTTTCAAATTCGCTTTTTTTCCTTTCTTCCAAACTCGGGTCTTTCCTCTGAGATTTTCAAAGCTTTTTTGGTAGATGCATTTCGAGAAGATGAGATTTATCTTGAAATTTAGGAGGAAAACTTTTTTAAAATTTTTGTTACGAGTATGTTTTGTGTGCACTCACCAACTACAGAAGTTCCCGTTCGACAGTTTTCGTCTGAAGTGTGGCTTTCTGTGGCTTATTAGAGATCTGGGGAGATACCCGTTTTAGAGATAGGGCCGATATGGTTTTTGGGAACTTTTAAAGTTAGTGGATACGTGCATAACATACTCCTGGTAGAACGTTGAAAAAAAAATCTTGTTTTTCCTATCGCCTTCCAAAAAATACTCGTCTTTCTGGAACATATCTAGAAAAAAGGATTTGTGAGACTGAAAGGGAAGAACTAAAAACGCAATCCAGTGCAAAAACGGTAACTATAGAATAAGTTTTTGAAACAGTGGATGAACACTGATTCCTAACTATACAGCCATTTTTTTAAACAAGCGTATTCTTATGAGAATGCTGCTAGCAGTAAACTGTCCACATGTTAACATTAGAGCATCAAACAACTATATTTGTTATGAATCATTACTGTCCACATCAAAACATCCGTCTAAGCAGCATTTAAAGTGATGCGTGCCAGCAATCTTGTTTCAGCTTTCAGCGATGGCCGTAATGCTAAGAAAGTAAAAAATACTACATTTTGCACATGGAAGGCGATTAGACTGAACTTCTCCAAGGATCCTCATGGAACTGGAAATTTTCCAGCGGTGGATTCCACTGTAAATTCCGGCAAAATTCTTTTTACCTTCAAAACATCAAAGCATTACTTTGAGGGCCTCAAAAAAAGTTTGAGCGGTGTTCAGCTCGTAAGACCGATTATAAATTGCTGATGCAGACGTTGTCAATTGTCTCTGCATTTCTCGGCAAAAGAAGCACCGGTTTTTTGTTACTAAAACTGTGATCTTTAATCCGAATGGTACAATTTACCCGCTGTTCAAAAAACGGCACAGAGATTGACTCCGCCAGAACTTAAGACGGACAATTTTTTTAAATTTAAAGTGCAGACGGATACTAATTTGGAAACAGTTTTGCAAGCTAAACCGTCTAAGCTTCCAAAGTCTACCAAATTAGTGTCAACATGATCCCACGAAATTCCGCTGGACGTTCTAGAGATTTGTACTTCATCAGTTTCGAAAAGGGATCTCGGCACACGATATAAAAATTACGTCTCGAATAGATCAAGAAACCTCAAGTTTTAATGTAAAAAGTGCTGTAAGATGCTCGTTTTTATTGTTTCAACTTGTTTGCATTGTTCCTGAACCACCTTCTACACGCTTAGTTTCACTGCACAGCTTAATTTGCCACAAACAATTATTTAACATCAAAGCACCACTCAAGTAGGCCTGTATTGCCAAATTCAGTCCGCCTAAGTAAATGCACATAGCACGCTGAAGAAAACCACCATTTATACGCCCATACTGCAAATTAAACACAACAATACCAACTCGACTCCAGGTTCTGAAAAACCCCTCAACTCTCCATTAAACTGAAGTCTCTGACCATGAAGAGTTCCCGAACAACTACTCGACATCACTCAACTCCAAAGTACCTTTGTTTGTTTTGTAAATTGCTTTCGTAACGTTTAGAAGTAATAAGGTTTTACCAAGCCAAGCTTAACAGCCGGAACTTCCCGTTAAAAGATGTGAACAAATCCCAGCCGCCACTATAAAACTGTCATAAGTCGACTGTAAAATAAAGTAGAGCAGAAAAATATATTTTTTGCACTGCCAATTATTTGCGCTTCCATTTGGGCCATAAATACAGTTCCTAACTCCTCAGCAAGCCGTCGTTTTCTTTGACTTCCAGAGAACTTCAAGTGAAGCTTATCTTAAAACCCACTACTCCATTAAAGTTAAACTAAAACGCCGTTTTGAGTTACCCGTACGATACACAGTATTTTGTTTCAAACTAGAAACATTAAAATTGTATTAAAAATCTTTCATCGCCTCATACAGTTTTTCACAGCACTAAAAACGGCTAAACCTCTCTACTTTATCAATTTTTATTTGATTTCATTTTTAAGTCCTGGTTCAACCTAGAAATTCTGAGTTCTCCTCCTCCAATAATTACTGTAGCTTTACTACCATAAGCGGCTTCCCAATCCGTATCTCGACAGGTTTCCTCGAGAAACGATCCTGCATTTGTAAAAAAAACAATGGGCATCTTTAAGAGTGATATTTTCAGCGGAGTAACAGTGCTGGAATCAAGGCAATTCTTCAGCACGATACTCATTTATTATACAGAGCAACAAACGTGCTACAAGTGTCACGTCAACAACACCAGACAGTTATCCTCAGTATATCTTCCGTTTCAAGATCTCTGGTCGCCATAGAATTGGGTGCGTCTCCTCAGTCTGAAATACAGTTGAGTCAAGTAACGGTCATAACTTTATTACCACAATTCAAACTATGCCTGCATCACTAGATAGGAAGCTGTCATAAAACTTATTTTTTAGCTTAGTAAACTACTAAAACTAAGTTCACCAGTGCTTTGAAAAATTCAACGGATAAGAATCTCCAAACTTACGGCAGTCTCATCTTCCTTATACATTTTTATTGTTTTATCTGCTTCTGCAGTTATCAACCGAGATCCTGATTTGTCAAAGCACATAGCAAATATCCCTGCCTCCGAGTCAATAGATCCTGGTTGCGCTTTTGTTTGTTCCTTTTGGAAACAGAAGCCACTGCGCCAGTCCCAAAAATGCATGGTTCCATTGTCCGCTAAAAACACTTGCTAATTAAGCTTCAGCTTTTTATTTAAAAAAATCACTGCCTGACTAGTTTGAAATAACTAAAAAATGTCCTTAAAAAAAACGATGTGGGGAGGAAAAACAACTACTCATTTCACAACCTTTATTTTAAACAAAAATGCGATATAGATTAAGTTTTAAGTACCTCCTGACACAAGGACGCTATCTTCGTTACAAACTAGCGAGTTTATAACAGAATTGTGGCCGGTTAAATTCTGAATGAATTCACCATTTGGACACTTCCACTGTTTGATATTATCTGCACTGCCAGAAGCAAACATATATAGTTGTGGATGAAGGACTAAAGCCCTAACGCTTTTCTGAAAAAGAGACATGAGTAAACCTTTTGAAAAATTATGGTAAGAGTTAATTACGACAAACTTTGTGGTGCGTCAACGTCGCCAAATTCCGTCCTGCTGCCAGATCCCACAGTCTGATTGTAGAATCGTGACTTCCAGTAATAACTTGAGGGTCAATGGCTTGTGAAACAACAGAAGCGACGGTATTTGTGTGCCCTGTTAGACAATGGACTTGTGCTTTGGTTCTCATATCCCAAACCTTAATAAAGAGAATGAAGTACGAAATAAAGATGCCAATAAAGTTATTGAAATATTGCAAAACTTTCAGTTAGCTAAACCCATTTTTTTAAAACCAACCAAACCAATGAATTCTAGTCATAATAAATGTGGCTGTGTTTCATCAAAATCAAAAAGGAAAATGCTGTCACCAAACTTAAAGAAACTCGAAAAATTACCCTTGCAGTAGCGTCACGAGCACATGTAATAAGAATGTCAATGGTTGGATGAATCGTAAGGTCTTGGACAGCGCTCAAGTGACCATGGTAATGTCTGATTACTTTGTTATATTCCAAATCCCAACACTTGACCTAAGAAAAAAGCCTAAAAGTAAGAGCTCAATACCTAGATCTTAATTCACATAAGAAATTAATACACACTTGCTTGTCTTCACCAGCAGTGAATAAGAACGGGTGACGTGGAGAAACTTTGCATGCTCGTACAGCACTAATATGTCCAGTTAAGGATAACCGTAACTTTCCAGAAGCTAAATCCCAAATCTAAAATGCACTTTTCTTTTTTATAATTTAAAACCGCAACCGAAAGAGAACAAATTTAGCAACTTAATATGTCTAGAATCAATTAAGCGCTTACCTTAACAATTCTATCTGCACCTCCAGTAGCAAACCATTCGTTACCTGGTTCCACATCTACACACCTTACCCAACCGGTGTGACCAGAAATTACTCTAGAATTGACATTTCTGAGTGCACAAAAACTTGAAAATAGAATTAAATAATCCTCCGCAACCTAACCGATAAAGTTTCCAGGGAGGGTGCCATTTGGGCTTCACCACCATTGGCGCTCGAGCAGGTAAAAGAGCTCTAACAGTATTATCTTCTGCTTTTGATGTTTGCGGAACTGCTAATTCTCTACCGGATACCCCTTCGGAAGATACACTTTCAATTGCCCCTGCACTAGTACTTTCCGAAGAACCAGCAGTACCAACTGGAATAGGTGGCATTGGCAACTTTATTGCCTCTTGCTCCTTACGGCGCTTAGCCTCTTCGACGGCATTCAAAACACGACCGTATTCAGCTTTTCGCTTAACGGCTCTCCAAATTTCATCTCTGAAAGGAAAAACAAAAAAGATAAACTTGCTCAACATCCAAATAGCTTCTATCAACTAACACATTACCGAGTGAACCAACTACTCCAAAAATTTCATCATACTTCCTTCCAAACAAAACCTGCCAAATCGAAGCTACCATGCTACGCAGTAACTGAAGAACTAAATACTAAAAAAAATCCTTACGCTTTTGAATCAAGTTCAGGAAGTGCTCCGTAGTCTTTGTAAAAGAAATCTGCAGTCCGTTTCATGGACCGAAATACAGTATTCAACAAAGACTTTTGCTGAACAGCCTCTGGAATTTCTTGAGTTTCATATGGAGGCGCAGGCCTCTCGTGTTCTACTGCTCCAGTGCTCATTTCTACGAAAATAAAATAGATAAAGAAAATCCAATGTCAAAAGAAATAATTCTTAAACGACGAAGTGCAAAAAAATACCAAACAGATTAAAAATTTTAAGAGAATCTACATCACTGACTCAAAAACCCTCTACTGATTTACACTTCTTTGTTCCTTCAATTAAAAAACCCTTTCAAAAAAAAAAGGAAGAGATTCTACCGAGTCAACAAACGATCAACACTCAAATTTAATAAAACTTTCGGAAATTCACGCATCGGTCCTTTGGTTTCCGCATATGGTGACCCCAAAAACTTTTACACTTGCTCCAGCACCTCCACAATTTCATTTTCCAAATCCAAAATAAGAAGAATTGAGACACCGACTTAAGGCATTCTTGAAACCATATATAGATCACTTTATCCCATCAGCAACTAAGACGGAAGAATTCAAAACAGTTTCTCAGAAAGCAGTAATTTTCCACCTTACCCTTTACGCCAAACGCAGTCAATTAGTGTTATGATGAAAAAAATGACCACCTTTCGACTAAACAATACTGAGTGTCTTTTCAGTACTACATCTTGTATTTCCCGTGCAGTTTCTGAAACAGGCTCGAAGGCTGCCCTACATACCAGAAAGCCGTTACTGTCAGTCCCAGTTCTCTTAACTTCACCCAAAGCCTTCTTGTGCCTTTAAAAGCATAGTTGTGCCTGAG